TCTACATGTCACGCATCTACAAAAACACCTCCGTCCTGCCAAAGCCTGTGGAGAAGGATCGTGTGGCGGATGACCTGTTTGCACGAGTTGTCGATATCTGGGCAACCTACCTTGCCACCATTGTACAGTCCATCATCAAAAAGCCCACCATCCCAGAGGGCTGCGGTTCCGTTGTGGCAGAAATAACCATGAATGAGAAAATGACATTGGGTAAGTGGATACCTGCGCGTACCTTTTCGACCTTCTAGATTCTCGTTTATGCCTGAGTGCCCTCCCGTATATAGTTCTTTTGAGGAGACTCTGAAAACATTAAGCGTAAGAAAATAGGTTCTAGCGATCTTAGGTTGGAGTCCGATCCTCACTTTGAAGTAACAGTATTGAAATCCGACTCATTTTAGAAAACCCACCTCGCATCAGTGACGATATGCCGGCTAAAATGAACCAACATCCATTTGACGGGACTCCGATTTGCAGAAGTAATTCAGACTGGATTTAAATAAATATAAGCGAGCGAGTTAAGACAAAATATCAAGCAGTTTGTCTTTGTGATAATTCAAAACTCAACCATTTAATGTGCCTACTAACGGCAAAACAGTAGGCCTTTTGAATAAACCTATGATTTCCCCTCTGAAAGAAGATCCTATTGTGAGAAGACAACTGTTTATCCTTTGTAAGAATGCTTTCGCTTTTGCACAAGGCTCTGTATATCGTTTGCAAATAAATTATCAGATACAAACATGGCCTCCATAGCTGTTTTATGTTCAGCTTCGATGCATTTTAGAAATTCCCAGACAAAAACTACTCGGAACAGACTTTTTTTGGTAGTTCAACCATGCCCATGTTGATTGCGCAGTTAATGGCGAACAAAAACGGTGTGTATGCTCCAGCTCGAGGTTTGCCATATAAGAAATTTTTTTGTGGACGGTTGGTGCACTATGCGTAATTCATGTCATAGATTGTCGCGGATTGACACGGAAAATTACTGCTTTCAAGCTGTCTATCAATAGTTTCGAGTTGCGGGGAATGTCCATTGCTGCGTTTTCTGATATTCTTCTTCACCGGGCGAACGGGATTCTGCTGGGGCACAGTATAACAGTCGTATCTGAAATAGTTACTTATGTATATGAGTGGACATGTTTATTACGTCTATTTCCCAGGCGAGGCGGAAGCTGCCGAGTGTCTGAAAATGCTACATGCCATCAACAACTATAGAACTACGCGCGCTGTGAAGGATGGAATTGAGTTTATTGCTCTTGCCGCTGGTCGTCCTGATCCGAGAGCCCGTCTTCACTTGGCGCTCGCAATGGTTTACTTTATCCTCGAGGAGAAAGCCAAGGTTTGAATATTTATCTATTTCAAATGACTTTTAAATTGCTTTATGTCAAAACATGCGAGCTTCAGCGGTTTCTCAGCAATCATTAAAGCAGGCGTCCGTGAAGTAGGGCCTTGGTTGAGTGTCTGCCCAGAGGACTTTGTTCTGTTTCAGAGGTCTGTAGGAGCACGCACACAACGTTTTAACAGTCTCCAGTTTTATGTCAACAAAATTATTCTGTCCTTGTTCGTGAGGTGCGTTTTCGCTGACTTACTGCAAGTGCTTCTAATCAGGCTCTGAAATCACGCGTGACGGTCTCCACAGGGCCTCTAAAAAAATCAGATTAATTCCCACTGGTCAGTTTTGTCTGCCCGGAAGCCACAACGGACATCACATGGCTTAACTTGGCATAGATGACGTCAAAAGTGCAAAATAAGCCTTAAGTAGGAATCAAAACTAGTGTAAAATCTAGACGAGGCTCTAAAAGATCGGATTTCGAAAAGTATTTATGTGAATGAGTCCCACTAGTGGGAGCTATGGAATATGGGCCGAAGAACCTTATATTGTGAATTTAATTTAAAAGAAAAATCATAGCCTATTCATCAGACACAGTATGCGGTATGTTTCATGACGTAGTGAATCAATATTAAAAATTGAATTGACATCTAAAGGTTATTTTGAGGGGGCTGCAATATCCATGGACAGTAGATATAATTCCAAGAAATTTCATACAGAGTGCCATATTAGCTGTTGATTAGATGCCATATGGGGCACTTAGGTATATATTTCTCAAGGTGGTCACCACTTAGTTGAATAGATTTGAAGTCCCAATATTGTCCTTTCCTGAAAACGCAACCAAGGCAGTTCAGCATGCTAACTACGTGTGCTCTGTCAATGCACAGTTCAGCCAAGCGGTATTCAAGTCTGACAACCTAGGTCTGCGGGGGAGTCAAATTCCTTCTTGAGCCTTCAGTTTGTCAACTGTGTTAGTAAGTACAGCGCGGGCGAGAAAAATTTCAGACTAACTTCCCCTCCCCCATACTTTGAGAAGAATCTGGTGTATCAGCATTTGTATCGAGCTAAATATAATTCGGTCTGTCACATCTCACATCCATCGCTATCATAGTCGCATTCATTAGTTCGGTGACAGCAAGCGGTCAGCTCTGCACCGGGTTAAGCAACACTAATGTTCTAAATTGTTAGTAACATTTGTCCACTAAGCATACATATCAGTGCGGTATAACAAGCCTGATTAGAAGCAAAACGGGCACAGCGGAGTCGGTCTTTGGCATGCAAGATGGTGTGGAAAATTAAATGTGGAATTGTTCACACATGGTCAGCCGTTTTATTACTCTCTGAAGGCGGTGATGCTAGCTGAACCTATTTCGATCCTATTCATTGTGAGATTAAAACACGACCCTCACAGATATACCTCCTGACCTAACATGCGATTAGTTCTACAAGCATAATTATTTTCACGCCGAGAAGGCGGTCCGGATAGCGTGAGAAGTGGCCCCCGCGAAATAAGGACTTTCTGTTTCTTTTTAAAGGCTCATCAGTACCTGGAGGATGCTGAGATCTCTGTGAAGGCAGCAGAGGAAAACAAGATTCTGAATGAAGAACTCGAGCTGATCAAGAGCGCCCTTTCATGAATGTTCAGCGAGGGTGCATCTTCTCCGCCATGAGCGCCAGTGTCACCTTTGTTCATCCAAGAGACCGTGGTGGACGACCGAACTCATCCCCCCGACTGTCGTTTATTGCCTAATATGCATATAGCCTTGTCTGGTAGATAAGTTCCAGCGCAGAACTACAAGAGCAGCGATGCTCATGCCAGGTTACTGATTGTTGCAACAGTGAATGTATCTTGTCTGTCTCCGTCTGTCTTCTCCATTTGAAAAAAATTATACTAACCGGCAGGACCGAAGAACGAGATGCATAGATGCTGGCTACTTACAATGAGTGAGTAGCGAGTGTACTCTTAGCCCCACAATAGTTATGACCCAGTCGCCTTTTGGAGGCAGCAACAGTGGAAGTCGTGTATTGGTAGTCAGAGCCCCCGACACCAGAGCGATGTGGGCGTAAACGTGCGTGCGTGTGTGTGCCATGTGAGAGTCCGTCAACGTCAGTTTGGCGAATTGACTGGGCGATTTTGGGCGCCCGTGATTGGATACCCTCGAGGCTGCATGTTCTCATGGCCACTTGGAAGCCGCGAGCATAGGTTTCCCAGCGCGGCCGAGGCACCAGAGGCGGCAGAAGCATAGAGTCTCGAGGCGCCACAATTCCTCCAGAGACCGAATAGAGTGAGGGGTCGACAGTGTAGCCAACGACGGAAGAAATGGTTTAGTCCAGTGCATAGGCGGTGAGCACCGGCGAGTTGGCCTGATGTCATGAAAGACAATGGTGTGTCCAGCACAGTGCATCCGAGTAAATGCTGAGACGGACGAATCCATCAGTGAAGAGTTTCGCTGTAGTCGAGTACTAAGGGTTCTAATTAGCTAGACGCAGAAGTGGACCTTCGACCTGAAAGATTGTGAGGGAGGATGCTGGTGGTGGTGGTGGTGGCAACAAGAGTATCTGAAATAAAAGTACACTTAGAGTGTTGGCTCGTCTGGAAAGCTGTTCTCACAGTTGGGTTGAAAATCATCGACTACGCTTTGTTGAGCACGTCGCGTTTATTCACAACAAGATGTCAGTAACTGTGTCATCGTGTCTGTGGTCATGATGAGTAATGAAAGAAAACAGACAAGTGAAGTAGAACGGAAATTTTGTGACGATTGAGATCAGTCATATCTGGCTGCTGCGTTAGGGCTCCGCCAGTCTATACAATTTACAGCATTTAAGTAGTGAGTGTGCTCTGAATGCTATAAGTGTCAAGAACCAGTTCCGTTTTAAAGGAGAATGGAAAAGGCACCAGTAAAAGTCGTACATTCTCTACAGAAACGCAATGTCGGTCAGAAACCCCCCCCCCCAATACGCGCCTGTAAGTGCGAGTGATGTGGACGTTAAAGCGTGTCATGCGAGAACCGGTCATTGTCGGCTTGGTGAGGTAATTGGACAACAGTCGAGTGTGTGAGCGCCTGTGATTGGCACACCCCGACGTTGTAGCATGAAGTTTTCGCATGGGTTTTCGATGCCTCTAAAAGTCCAATTATATTTCATGGAAAACGTGCATAAAAATACATACATAAAAAATACATACATACATAAAAATACACATCTTCTAATTTTATACTCGAAGGGGAGACAAAATCCAAATTTTGATTGTGGGACTTAAATACCGTGAAATGGTCGTTCATAAACCGTCAGGTAGCTGCATTTACCACTGAGGCCTGTAAAGTTAACAATACGGACCAGATCCACTGATAAATTTTATGAAACCCATATTTTTTCTTCAGTACCGTAGAGAAATGTGCGGTTTTCCGTACGCAGGAAATATACGGCTTGTAGTTTGGAAACCGTGAAACCAAGTGTAACGGTAGAGCGGGTTCAAAGTTATTCGGGGATTAGAAAAGTTTTTCAAAAACGAATTATACCCTTCCTTCGAGTATAAAATTGGAAGAGGACGTAATTTTCTACCGAACGAGCAAAAATTGAAAAAAAATTTGTGCATTTTTTCCATGAAATACAATTAGACTTTTAGGGGCATCAAAACCAATGATAAGTAGTCATTTTTTACAGAGTGTAGTTTTTGCATGCAGTCGGAAATAAGTTCATTCGAAAGCCGGGATCCTGAGGTAACAGGAATATGACAGAATTATGTTACAGGCTGACTAGATTTACAACCCCATTTAATTAATCTTTTCGAAACGAAAACGCATTTCGGAATTTCGGTTGACATTTATTCAGCTAGACCACCTACCGTAAGTAGTGAGTGTACTCGGAAGGTTATAAGAGTCATGACTCGGTCCATTTTTGAAGGAGAAGGGAAAAGGCGCCAGTAATATCATGCATTCTGTACAGAAAGGTAATGTTGGTCAGAACCCCCCCAATACGCGCCTGCAAGCGCGAGTGATGTGGGCGTGAATGGTAACATGCGAGGTGAGTGAGGTAATTGGACAACAGTCGAGTCTGTGCGCGCCTGTTATTGGCACTCCGCATGCTCCGGCCGCTCGGGAGCCGCGATCATGCGATGCTGGTGCGGTGTAGGTGCCAGAAACGGAAGGCCTGCGTACGTTTAAGTCTCCGCAAATGCCCTCTATGTTGGCGTTCGTATTATGCTTGCTTACATGCCGCTAAGAGACGGAAATGAGGACTCTCTGCGAGATTCCGAGGTCAAACGAGACGACCACTGCTGCTTTTTAATTTCAGACGGATGTGGTGATGTAGCCCCACCTGAAGTATGCGAAACCCAGTCACTTGTAGTGCGAAACCGGTGTTAATAGGGGGTTTTTACAGGTGGGGACGGGGAACGCACAGGCGACGAGGTCAAGTAGTTGCATTCAAAAGAAAAGATATTGGAAAGGCGCGGTTGTACCTTGAGTGGTTGAACAAGAGGTACGCTGACTTCTAACTCTAACCCTAACGCATGACCATAACCAATAACCCTAATCCTTAACTTCAAACCCAACAGTACTGTGTCCATGAGGTGGGGCTGCCAAACCACAACGCCTTAATGTTCCCAGAAACTAATTGCGGACTTGTAGTACATCAGTTTATTCTAGATATATAGGCTCAGACTTTGCTTTTTAAACTCTAAATCCCCTCCTGAACGCATGGATACATTTACAGACTGCTTAAGCAGCTCCATTTTTGCTTATTAGACAGAAGATGTGTCCGCATTGACACGAAAAAGGCATTAAACCCCAAACACCTCGCTAATTCTGACCTTTTGAGTTAAAACTGACTTTCGTTCCTAAGTCAAGTGTGAGGGATTTCGTCGTTCAGCTGCATCAAACGTAACCATTTTAGGAAGCAGTAACAATGTCAGGGGAGATTAGACAACTTTTTATCGAGGGTCGTGAAAAGCATTCATAAAATGCGGTACTTGGCAGCAAAATTGCAAAGGAACACGTTGGCGAGAAACAATTACTGCTATGCATGAAGTTAATGTAGTGTTGCATCTATACATGCTTCCCTGCTTCGTGTAAATACCAGTTAAAAGGTTTAAAAATGACGAAATGCTGCGGCCATTTCTTCTGCCGCTCGCGTGATCCCGCATTCCTTATGTGTGATTAAAATTTTGGTAATGTACTGATGAGGCAAGCCTCCCTCAATTTCCGTGTACATAATGGAGCAAATCCGCTTCTCGGGTATCTTAGGGATTTGAGCATATTAGGTGGCAACGGCAAAACCGAGCAGGACATTTAGATGTCAGTCATTTTACAAGCCTCCAAGCGACAGATTCGTTGACCGCTGCTGCAGGACACTTCAGCTTGCCAGACATGTTAATTATATGCGTTTTAGCAGACAAGCATGGCAGCATGGATGGGGAGACAGCGATGTAATTTTGGCCATTGTTTTCGCAATTTGTTCGCGCGCATTTTTGTCTCTTTCTCTCCCCATGTGTCACGTTTGTCCAAAATGGTAAGCCGAAGAAAAGGTCAGTCCGTTGTGACCTCCAAAATGTGATTTAACTTAACTACCTATCGTCTCCGCAAATCAAAAATTCCAAACTTTTATTGCTATTTTCTTTCTGTTCAGATGCACGAGTCGTTGAAATTTTCGAAATCTTTACTAATTTTAAAATAATTTTGAACCCGACCTGCCGTTACAATTGCATTCAGAGTTTCCATAATACAAGTCATACATTTTCCGCGTACGAAAAACCATAAATTTCTCCACAGCATTCAAAGGAGACTGTATGGGGTTCATAAAATTTGACAGAAGATTGGAGCCATATATTTAAATTTATCAGTCACATTGGTAAATGCATAGCCAGGACGTTTTATAACGGCCATTTCACGTATTAGAAAATCTCACAATTAGAAACTTCTCCAAACCCGAATTATATCCTTCTTTCGAGTATAAAAGTGAGAGCAAAAATCATTTTCTACAAAATGCGCAAGAGGAGGAACATTTTTCGCATGTTGTCTATGAAATATAATTGAATTTTTGAGGGCAACGAAAATCAATGAGAAAAATGCATGCCACTTAATTTGTCATTTTTACAGAGCATGGTTATGGCATGCAGCTAAAAAGAAGTTCCTTCGAGAACTCGCACCTCGAGGTAGTTGAACTATTATAGAATTATTCTGCACATTGATTAGTTTTACAACCGTACTCAGTTAATCATTCTGAAACGAAAACGAATTTCGGAATTCCGGGTGACATTTCACGAGTTGGCCCACCTACTGTGAATAAATGCTCAAATTTAATACAGGTCATGACAAAGCACTTCAGGGCAACCAAACCGCCCACTCTATGCATAAGGACAGGCAAATATCGGAAGCTTTGTTTTCAGTGCAACGTTTGATCTGTCTCAGTTCTATACTTTTTTTAGAAGTCGGTATGAGAAAATCTATTATATCGGCCTGACACGGATACTACCTCTGTTTTTCACCATAGATCTCGTAGAAATTTGTTTGCATATCAAGTCATTTGGACGTGGCGTTGGACGTGGTCGACTAATGCTCATTAATGGGTCTTCCAGCTCTCCTCATGTGCTTTGTGGTATACGAATACTAGCTTGCTGTTAGAAACGGCAATAAATTAT